CTGAGAGTGACCAGGAGAAGGGATGTCTAATCAGAAAGAGCACTCACTGAATATCAGAGAGCCGTGCGGAAACCGAGGATGGAAATTTGGATCTCGGTCGCTTGCGTTGACCTGTTACCTGCTGTGGTGTCTAAAAGAGGGAATGTTTTAGAAATCCCTCAGCTGAGTTCCATTTGCCTCAGCCGGAGGGGGTGTGTGTGTGTGTCCTTGAGTTAAACAGCTGTCCTAGCTGATAGTTTCCAAACCTGCCACATCTGTCCTGCCCTGAGGCGATGTGCCTTGAGTTGGGAGTCACCTCTGTGGGCTGGCAGAGCTGTAACTCTGCACCGCTGCTCCCTGGTGCTGGGGCAGCAGTGCTGGAGCATGGGGCAGGGTTGTCCCGCACACTTGGTGACATCCTTCCTCCAGCCCCTGCGGGGTTGTGGGTGGTGGGCGAAGGTGCCAGTTGGGACCGGTGGTTGTGAGGTTGAAGGTGTTTAGTAGAAAAATCAGGGAGAAATGGGTGTATGCGTGGCCCAGTGCAGCACCAGGAGCCTCATCCTGTGGTGATGGTCCCCAAGCCAGTCTGGCAAGCGTTGGCTAAAGGAGATGTGAAGTCCTGTTGCAGGTTCTGAAATGTTCAGGCCGGTTTGCTGGGAGATGTTTCTCTGTTCTTAGGCTCTTTTCTTGGGCATGAGCTGTTGGAGGTGGTAAGATTTGCGTGGAAGCTGAATGGGCAAGAACATGCCAGGCTGTATCCTGCTCGGACGATGGCTGGGGTGGGAGCCGCATGGGACGTGAGCCTTTGAGTCTGCTATTACAACTTACCTACTAGAAAAGTTGCCAGTTCTATGCTTTTCACTTAAGGACAGGGTAAATGGCGTTCTGTATTGCAGGCTTCAAGATCTTTCCTTTTTTTTTTTTAAGTCTGGCTTGCAGCCGAGCTTTTAATTTGATTGTATTTCTGTCAAATACCTGGCTGTCTTGGTGTTGAGACTCTCAATTCCTGGTTTCTCTTTCTTGACAGACACTGCAGCAATAAATGCTTTGGCGTGTCCCTCGCAGCTTCCAGTTGATCCCCACCTAGAAGACAGTCAATGAAAAGCTTGCAGCTGCTTCTTATCTTTTTGGGCAGAGAGAATAGTGAGCTGGGTAGCTTTTGTAGCAAGGGTCAGTGTCTGTCTTCCTGTCTGCTGTATGACCCAGTCCGTGAAAGACTCGCTTATCCCTTCTGCTAAAAGATTTGGGAGGCAGTGGCAACGGCTGTCAAGCAGTCCCTTACAAAGGGGTGAGGAGTGACGTCTCCCTTCGCTACAGGTGAAATGGCAATTGAAAAGCAGCTCCTGGACGGTGGGCACTACTACTATTGACCTGCCCTTCGTGTGCCCTGCGTAGGGTTTCTTCCACGGTCTGTTGTAGGTGACGGAAGGCGCCCAAAAGGCGTATAACGTAGTCCACGTATTTATGGTCTGTTTACAGGAGAGTTAACTACTTCTACTCAGTCTGTGCTCTATCTGCAAGGTTTTAGCTGTTTGGGGCTTGCTGGTGTGGGGCTCTTTGCATTGGGAAGAGCTCCAGTTGCCCTCCATTCAGCCAGATGACTGTAGTAATTTGTGATTTCTTGTATTTCATGCTGGAGAAAATCAAGGAGATGGAAGATTGTTCTGTTCAGGAGAGCAAGTTGTTAAAAATTCATAGCCTTTCTGAAAGAATGTGTGTTCAGGTTGGTGCATCCCATAGAGTGTCTGGCCGTTTTCAAGTTACTTCTCTTAAGATACTCCTTTCAGGTTTGTAGTAGATAGGTACTACAAGAATTTTGTACTTGTCAAAGCACTGATCTCTCAAGGGTGGAATCAGAGGAGAGCTGGCAGCAGGCTTGAGGCCATTTCTCCTGAGAGGGAAGTTGTGTGATTTCAATTCCAAAAGTCAAGGAAAAGAAAATAAAAGATGGGGTTGCCATTAATATTTAAAAACTATCTAAGCACAGTTACTGATAACTCCTCCAATGAGTCACTTATTGTTGTAACACAACAAATGCAAGCAGCAGAATGAACCTAATAATGCTGCTTCCTAGTTAAAAAAAAAAAAAAAAAAGTTCTTCATGTTTTCATAGTGACAGCATCCCATAAAGTACAGCAGGAGGACTTTGACGAAATTCAGAACCTAGAGTGTAGCAGGTCCTGGCACCTCCGCTCCAGCATGACCTGGATTTTCAGAGGCACCTGGATGACTGACCCGGGAACCGTAGGGCTTTCACTTGAATCAAGTAATTCTGCTATAGACAGGCTTGCTACCCAGTACCATCCTACAAAAAGCTGGAACAGTATCGCTGGTCTAGGGGAGGTGATTTCAACCTGAATTTAGCAATGTGCTTACAAATTCTGTATAGATCAATTTGTGATTCTGGTGTTATGCTGGGAGTCTTGATTGGGGTTGAGCGTCTGCTGCCTTTGTATGCTGCGTATTGCATCTTGAATCTCGCTGCGAGGAAATCATATTGCATGGGGTCACTTTTTAGGAGGTGCATTGAAACAAATGAATGCTTTCTTTCTCCTAAACAAGAGGAGTGTCTTCACTGGAAATTACAGTAGTCCTCTTTATCCTAAGGCAAGATCTAGGACATGCTGTCACAGTCCTTCTTGCGCTTTTAGTACGAATGTTTAGCCAGTCTCGAAAGAATAAGGAATCTCTCGTTATATGTTCAGTTTCTAGCTTGATCGGTCTGTGATGAGAGATCCCTGCGTATCGGGTTCTGTACGATGGCTGGGTGGGGTTTAATGGTACTTTTGTCTTTTTGGTGTTTACATACTCACTTGAAAACGAAGGATAAAGTTCAGAACTGAAGGGAAGATAGAAAGAAAGAATTTGATTGGCACATAAAACACTGTCACTTTTTGAAGTTTAGAAGAAGAGCGGGTAGTAGTGAATCTTTGAAGCTTGGGGGACAGGGACCTCTTTTTGAAATGTGTTAGTCAGGGGTGTGTTGTTTTGTTCCCGAAACACTGTTCAGTTTGGTAAGGTGTGTTTTTATGGGTGAGAAATAGGAAAGTATTTTGGTCACAGTATTACTTATATCTGAAAAATAGTATTTAGTATGAGTACTGGCATTGGAGCATCATATTAACTTTGGCTAGTATGATCTTTGAGTAAGAAAAGGGCCTGAACTTAATTCATGCTATGCAGTCCTCACATATATGCCTTTAGTGTCTAAGAGGCAATGCTAACTTCATATTTGGAAGTTCAGGGAACAAATATTATATGTTGTCTTTGGGGTGCTTTGGGCTTGGGTGGGGTTTTTTTTGTTGGGTTTTTTTTTTTTTTTTGCTTTGGTATCCCTTGCAACACTTCTTACAACTTCATGCCTTAGACGGAAAGATTCATTGTGGAGAAAATACTCTCATGGTAAACAGGAGACTTTTGAGATTTAAAAAAAAAACTTGAGGGTTTTCTCCAGAACTAAGCTATTGCTATGTCTTGCAAATAATAGCCCGGTTAGCTTATGGTGCAACTTAATGAGCAGGAAGTGAATATTTCCAGAATCACTCCGAAAGGGAGTAGATGGCTTGTCTAATGTCCACCTGCGGTGGTAGGCATCAGAAGTATGCTGTACATTCTCCTCTAAGATGCTGCTGGTTTTCATACAAAAAAATCAGATGTAGCAAGGGGGAATATTTTATTTGACCAATTAGTGTGATGGGGGGGGGGGGGAACAGCAGAAAGGCACTGGGTCAGGCATGGGGGTGCACACTACTTCTTAAAGCTTGCTGGTTTTTCTCCCCCTTCAGTTTTAGTTGGTCAGGTAAAAGATTTAGTTAAAGAAATGATTTGAGCACTGGGAGTGTCAGAAAGGCTTTACTCGGCCAGTCCAGACTAGTTTTGTGTCTCCATGAGCGTCTGTGAGCAAATACAGAAAATACCGGAGCATGTATAGAGTCACATTGACCTGGGCATATTCTTCCAGCTTCAACTGACAGGTTGTTCCTTAATTTCAGAGCTGTTGATGGATCTGGTTTTGTATCTATTTATATTCCTGGCCTTTACAGCATCTCGTGGTAATTAGGAGCTGTAGGCATGGGTATGCGGTCCAAATGCCAATGTTTAATCAGTTACCTGATAATTTCACTCTGCTTTAATCCTTGTGTTTGCTAAATAATGAATAGTCATTCCATTCCTATTCACCAGTCACGTTACTGGTGAGTTTGTATAATGTCCTTTCACCGCTTGTTTTCCGAGTTTCTAGTACCTTTTTGCAAAGAGGAGTAAGAAGGGTAGATTCCACTGATACGTTTCTCATTCTTCCATAGCTTTTATGAGAAGGGATGGCCAGAGCTACTTCCAGGATTCAGGAGCAGTGTTTTCTGTCATAGTGCATCCACTGTATATTTAAATGTGCGTCTAGGTAGTAGGTTATTAACAAGTTAAGTAGAAAAATGAAAAGTGATCTTTTTGCACATGGTATTATTTGGATGAGGCGTGTGATGATAGAGCAGTTAAGACTTGATGGAGCAGTTAAAGCTTACAGCAGGTCTGTAACCATGTAATAATATCAGTGTATGTTACAAATTTGCAGTTCAGTATATACGAAGTTCAGAATATAACTTGATGCAAAAACACTTTTCTTTGTGAACTTGATTTTAAAGCTGGCTGTCTCTTCCCTCTCTATCATCTATAGCATTTAATACACACTAACAATTACAGCATTTTTTTCAGTTGCTGCAGCTTGCTTGTGACATTATTAACATTTAAAACCAGAGTGAATAGACAGCATACAAAATGGAGAGAAAAAGAGAGCAATGGTCAAATATTTAAATCTTTGTGAAGAAAATAAGCTGTGTTCTGAGATCAGCAATTAGGAAAAAAGTTACTTGCCTTAAAATGTGAATTAGAGGTAAAGCAACCTAAAAATATGCCTCACCCCAACCTTGAAGCATCTAATACTACACTTGTTAAAAACAACTGTACCTGTTGCAATTTGTAGCACCTTTCTGTTATCACACTAGTAAATTGTATCATTTTTACAGCTTCAAGAAACTCATATAAACACGTGAGAGAAGATGACAAGATCTAGATCAAGATCACCACGATGGAAACCAAGGTAAATATTTATTTACAACCTGTGTTCTGAAAAGTAGCTCTGTATAAGGATTTATAATTAGGACTTAAAACTTGCATAAAAGAAAGAAAATTGTATCCAGAATTGCAATTTGTAAAGTGTAGTTTATTAACGATGATTTGTTTTCCAAACTGAATACCTTGTGCAATTTTTTTCCCAACCCAGAATTTTATTATGATTTTTTTTTTAATAAGCTAGAGGTGTTAAAGTTTTGCTGTCTGCCAAGAACCTTGTACAGCTTGTGTGTTTTGGGACTTGGAACTACCTTAAGCACAAAATCCAAGCACCCAACTAGTTAAGGTTATTTTTACTCAAGCACCGCCTGGTGCACTTAATGTCCGTAGCTCACTCCTGTTTTGCCTGTTGGTCTACAGGGAGGGCCAGATCGACTGTTAAAAAAATACTTCTTAGTTCAAACACCTCAGGCTTTCTGAGCCATTGGGGCTGATCCGCAAATTGATCTTCAGCACAGTTAGATATGCCTTGCAGCATAAAGCGAACTGGAAACATGGGAGTCAGCGCCCTTCTTTTTGGACACTGGCCTGGTAGCGTGTGTCATTGATGTATGTCACCAGAATAACATCCAGGTTACTTCATGCCGCTAGTTACCTGCCTCATTTTTAGGACTTGCAATGCCAATTCAAGATGGTAAAACCGGGAGCCTGGAATACAATTTTAAGCTCTCCAGAGCTGTTAGTATGTAATATGAAACTACTTTTTTTGCTGGTTTGGGGTTTCTTTTCTGAACAGCCTGTTATTAAGTTGTGATGACCAAGACCAAGGGAGTTTGTTAGATAACACAGAAAAATGTGTGTGAGTTTTTGCTTGTTTGTTTTTTAAAAAGAGAAATCCTGTCTACTTCCATACTAGATCGATAGCTGTGAATATGCCCTTTGAGTGAAGGGCAGGGAGGAATGCCCCAGCTCTCATTAAAAGGCAAGCCTTAACCACAGCAACGTGGGGTGGCAGCAGCAGTATGGGTGCTGTGAGAAGTTAGCCATTATAGTTTTAGGAAGATCTGTGGTTCTGAGTTTGAACTCATTTGCAGAAATGGAGCAAATAATTATGCCAGATTGTATGTTTGCAATATGTGTACAAAGGAAGTGACTTCCTTGAATTTTTTCAACTTATATTTTTCAATTCTTTTTTTATTAGAGTGTATCAAGAGTGCACAGTGAATACTTGAATACAAGCAGAACTGTTACATCTGGGATTGCTTTCTGATTCTTGCTGGTGGCTTGTACTGCTTTTATTTAAGGAGTTTTTGGCTAAAAACTCTTAATAGGTTGCTTTCATTTTTGTAACTGTAGGTGAAAATGCAAAGCTGAGTGATGCAATTGAAGGAGCAAAAGCTGCAATAGGTGTGGAAGTGCATATTATACATGTGTGTACATGTATGTACATGTACACACAATTTATACAAAAAGACGAAAACATCTTTCTCTAACTCGGTCTTTTCTACAGGAAAAAGCCTACCTGTGTGACATTTTAAATAGGATATCTTATAATGTTTTCAACCAGTTTTGGGGGTTGTTTAGGCATGCAAAGAAAACCCGAAAAGGTAGTGGGTTTTGTTTGGGTTTTTTTCCCCTGCTTTGTTTGTTTGGTTTTGGTTTTTTTTTTTTTCATTCTTTATATGCTTTTTTTCCTTCCCCTTTTTTCTCTTGGCACTGAAAAAGATAGGGAATGCTTGAGAAGTGTGAAAATGTGTATAACAGTTGCTTTCAATGTAGTGGAAACTTCATATATATGAAATTATTTTTAGTTTGAAAGAATGCAAAGAGAGAAAAATGATTGACTTACTACTATTTCAAGTGGGTATTTTTACTATGAAAACTTCCAACAGAATAAAAGTAAGCTTGGTACTCCAGCCAGGCAAATGACACTTTGAATATCTTGGTTTTAATTTTTTTACCAGTTGATTAAAATCGCGTACTAAACTGTTAATTCCTTAGGGAATAAATGTTCTCATCAAGAGGTTGATTCAATTTTATGGGACTACTCAAAGTGGATTTTATTTTTGCCTTAGGTCCTTATCTCCAGCATTTAGGAGTCCAGAGCACCATAGGCAAAGGCATGCTCATATAAATTATGACTGTGAATATAAAAGCTTTCGTAAGGACCCAAAGAAACCTATGCCTTGGAGAACAGAAGATGAAAAATACGGACAAAGCAATTCCAGGTTTGCACCTTATGGAAATAACCACCAGAGAATATATGAACGTAGATCACCTTCACCAAACCTGAAAAGAATTCCCATGGAAGATACTTACAGTCATAAGCCCTACAGAACACATTCATCTGAAAGAACTGAAAGCAATAGGAGATGCCAGTTACCACCAAAATACTCGGAAATACCATATAATGAGCATGATCGTCCCTTTTACCAACACAAGATGGAAGACAGATACATGTTTGAGCACTACAAAGTCACTGGAAATGAAAAAGGAATGAAACCTTTTCCTAGACCATTAGGGGCTTCATGTCAACTTGAAAGAAAATGGCATGAAGATGACTTGAGGCACCAGAGGTTACATGAAGAGAAGTATGGTCAGTCACCCAGAAGAGTTTCTGATGAATTTACGGCAAGGAGCTCTTTACAGAAGAGGTATAGGAATAAAATAATTAAAACCTGGGTATTGTGGTGTAAAGCCTCAAGTGAAAGTCTGTTTTCATTATAGTTGAAGATAACCACCTTGAAACACGTTGGCCACTTTGTAGTTTAATTATGGGCGACTGGTAGTAGTGAAGTATTTGTCTTTTAAGTAAGTCGTATTGATGGCTAGAGTATGAAAGGATAATATTTCCCTCTTAAGAGCCCCTGCACATCTGTACCTTGGCGTGAGGGATTATGGGTTAACTTGCCACGCATTCTGCTGTCCAACATTCTGCACATATAAGTTCTCGCTTTCTTCTCTAGTGCAAGTGTAAATTGCTTTATGTCAACACAGGTATCCTGAAGATCACGATTACAGAGAATATGGGCACACGTCTAAAAGGGCTAAAGAAATGGAGAGGTATGACGGTGGAGAAGTAGCAAGAAATTCCAAGTGGAAGCAAGAACGTTCTTTTCCACCCTACGAAGAAAAGGAGGAGCAAAGAAATCTGGGTGCCCAGCCCCACCGATCGGCTGAAAGGGAGTACTCGGAGGGTTCTGTCACAAAGATAGCCTACGAGTACAGTCACAAACGGCGCAGGCATCCAGATGGGGAAAAGCTTTTTTCAGATGATAGAGCTCAGAAATACGTGAAGCAGGAAGACCAGAAATACGGTTCTTCTAAGGGTGCCCGGAATAGCAAAGAGTTAGATTACTTTAGCAGTGGAAGAGCGAGACGGACTGAAGAAGGGCACTTCGAAGTACCTGTTAAATATAGTTCAAAGAAGGGCTGCGATGCTTGTGTTAACTCTTCCAAAATGGATGTCGATCTGAGATCTTTTAAAAACAAACCGAAGGAAAGAGTAAGGAAAGAAGGGGAATTCAGGAAAAAAGTAGATTCCTCCGATAGCCAGCATGATTCAAGTCATACTGTTTCAGATGTGAAAATGTCAGATGTCAACTGTAGGAGGGAACATCTCACAATCAAAGTGGATATGAAGAAAATGGTGACCAAGTACAGGTACTGGTTTCCCCTCACCTCTTCTTCTTTCTTCCTGTCTCTTTACAGCTTATGAATATTGGAGGAAAGCACGGTTTCTTTAAGAGGTAACCAGGACAAACTAAGGTTGTACCTTTTTAATTTTATGTTGTTTAAAATGTTAACTTGCCCAGACTGGAAACTTACAGCCTACCTCTATTAAAACAAACAAACAAAAAAATCCCCTATTGCCTTTCATGGAGAAGTAGTAAGAAATGCAAAGAGCAGATATGCCTGATATAAACCTGTAGTTAAAAGTTGCTTATGACAAGTAAATGTGTTACTTGTATTAAAAAAAAACAAAAGCAGAAAAGCCTAGTCCTGTGCTTTCTTCTGGAATATGATGGCATTTTTTTTGACTGAGTCATCCCTCGTTTCTTCTAAAAACCAGATAACCTTTAAATTACATCTCAGGCACACATTCAGATGTTCAAGATCTCAAGTTCAATAAAGCTGTCAAAATTGGCGATCCCTGTGTTATGTTATTTATTGTTGTAACAAATGAAGTGGCAGTCTGTTGAGGCATAAGGACTGAAAAGCAGTAGAGTCTGCTTCTGTCCATCTTCTGTGTAATACGTGTGGTTGCCTTTAGCATTCCCAATGCCAGCTGAATTGGAAAATTGCTAATATTATGAAAATCTAGATGATGGATACATGGTAGATAGTAAGCAGCTTGGTTTGTGTAGATTTTTGCAGGCTTTTCTGGTTTGTTGCCTTGCTGTTGCAGGCAAGAATGTCATATAATGGCAGTAATCCCTTTTGGAAGGGATTACCTTCCTTTCTAAAATGATGAGCCTTCATTTTAAAGGTATTTTGCCTCTTGTCCCAAAGAACAACATCTATATCAATTTTTTTCCCTTTCAATATTTCAGAAACATGTAATACAATGGAGAGTTACAAGGACAAGTTACTGTCTGCACATAGTGGGCTAATATTAAAGACTGAGGAAAGGGAAGTGGAGTAATGCCCCCCCCGCTCTCCCCAGCTGGGACAGGCATTTACCTTCCTGAATGATAATTTAAGGAAAATAACCTAGTTATTGTTGGGTTTTGTTGCAAGCCCACAGGACAATTCCTGTATCTCGTAGTATCTTGCTGCTGTTTTTGCAAGTCATGGACGATGGACGCAGTAGTTATTTGCAGACTGAAGAAACTACGACATTGATTACAGCTAATTTCATGTGTGGAAGGTTCGCTTCCACAGGCAAAAGTGCTAAATATTTTTTTTTTTTTTTTTAAAGATGAGAACACTAATTTTGCAGAAGCTGATGACTGAGAATATTTGTACTGCCTACTTAAGGCATTTAACAAACACCTGATTTGAAATGACTCAGCTGAGAAGAATACTTTATAAACCTGGGGAGCAGGTAGATAATTCACATCATCTAGAACTGAGATTGTTTGGATTCCCTCTTGCATGTGACTATTTCCCATTTACTGGGGCAAATAGGTGACTTCTGACACCTGCTAGAGGCTATTTCTGATACAATTTCTGTATAAAAATTCTAGTCTTGTTTGCTTCAAATACAGGATGGGCAGGGCAATAATCACTTTGCAGAATGCACAGTAAACAGAGTCTTCATCCTAAAAGCTTTTACATGGGCTGTTTGAGTCCTCAATTTATCTTTCCAAATGGCAAGCATTTTCCTTGCAACGAGAACAGCAGGATTTTTAAAGTGTTAGCTACCTTGTCAAAATAATTCTTAAGCAGCAGTGCAACCATTTGGGGCGTAAACTTATTTAGAATGAGTAAAATTTGACAAAAAGATGCTGAACACGTTCTTAAGTTCACACACTGCCACTGGAAAGCTGTTTCACTAGGCTCAAGTGATGATTCAGTTCCCAAAGATGCTCTGAGATTTATACATCTCTGAACTGTTCTTGAAAATTATCTGGTAGCTCCTTCTAAACAAAGACATGCACATAATCGCCTTCCTGAATTGTACTGAAGTAGTATATTGGGATCTTCATTTGCCTGTTCTATTTGATAACCTAGATGAATTAAGTTCAAAATTCACAAATTTCGTATTGCGTACTTCACTGAAACTGAAAGGATTCCTGAGAGTGTAGTCATGTTTCTTTGTATTTTATTGTAGCTTTTCTTCCTTATGGCCTTATGAGTTTTTTATTTAAAAAAAAGGAACAAAATGAGATTTCAGTTTCATCACACTTATTCCTAAAATGAACTTCTTAATTTATTGTTTTGTTCTACTTGTCTATTTGAAGTTTTCGGATACAGTGAATTCTTTTAAAGTGAATATCTGTAAACTTTTGTCCTAGGACTGCCTCTAGTCATACTACAGAGAGACAGATGTCACGTGATCTGGTTGCTGTTGGCAGGAAAAATGAAAATTTTCATCCGGTGTTTGAGCACATGGAATCTGTAACACAAAATGTTGAAAACGACCCATCAAGAGAATTTACTCAGGAAATAATCACAATTATCCATCAAGTTAAAGGTGGCTGTAATATTTGGGGTATATGTATGTGTGTATATATTTCTAGTTATTCAGACCAAGTCTAATGAATTGGATATGCTGTCCTTGTAAACATTAGGTGTTTGCCTTTTGGCTTCATTTGTGTTTTGGCTTCATTTCCTGTTCTTTAAGGAAAATGTAGGTTGAGGATTTAAAGTAGTTGGGTGGAGAATGATTGCAAGAAGATCTCCGTCCATGATAGAGGCAGTATTGTGGAGTGTTAAGGTCAAAATGATTTTATGCTGGTGCTTAAGACTAACCTGCTTGTTTAGGAACAGAATAAAAAAGGAGCTTTGCTGTAGTCACAACTTCCTACTTATATGTAGTTCCTTTAACTTTTCAGATTAGTGTTTAGACTGCTGCATCATGTTCAGTGTTGAACTTTATTTATAGATTCTAGTCATTTGACTACTACTGTGATAGAGCTGACAGTTAACTTTCTATTGAGCTTAATCTTATTAAATAAGAAGGATGTCTTAAGTCTTTCATTTGTGAACGTTAAACTGCAAGTGGAAATAGTTTGAAATGTAATCTCAGAAGTTATCTTGGTGTCCTTAAGAGTTAATCTTCTAAAAGATGCAATTTCCCACTGTGCATTTCAACTACTACAAATAAACATTCTTGTATTTAATATCTCTTCACAGCAAATTATTTTACATCTTCTGACATAACTCTACATGAACGGTTCTCAAAAATTCAGAATAAACCAATTGCAAATATGAATGAAGTTAAAATACGTTTGGATCCAGAAATTCACAGGTAATTGATGCGCTTTTTGCCTTAATTTATTTGCATTAAGGTAATTCATCTTCAGTAGACTTTACACAATGTCAGGTGTTTTTTCACTGAATGTAAACTACCTGCCCATAGTCTGCAAAGAATTCTGTAGTTGATCAATAATGGTTTTGCTATTTATAGCGATGGCACTTGTTTTTATGAAGTATTTTTGTGTTCCAGGAGGATTGACATGTCTCTAGCAGAACTTCAGAACAAACGAACTGTGCCATCTGAATCTCCCCAGGTATCTTGATTACTTAACTTTTTTGGCAAACAGTAATTAAGTTAAAGTGATATAGATATAATCAACATTTTCCCCTTGCTATTGGTACATAATTTTTACGTGCTTTGAAGACCATCAGTAATTCTGACTATTTTGAAAGAAATGCACACTTGTGCATATTTACAGATACTACAATGGTGCAAGTATACTGTGTTGACTGATGAGTAAAATCTGGGCGTGTTCTCCAGAGTAGCTGGAGTGTGGTTACTGCTGCTGCTTGAACCCCTATCTGTTTTTAAATAGTGTAAATACTAAGTAGGTGGCTGATGTGTGGCTCTTACTTTCCCTCTGAGATTAGAAAAAAAAAAAACCATCTAAATGTTTCTTCTGCCCTAATGTTAGAATGGCCCAACATCCACATAATTCCTCAGAATGCTATTTTATCCCATGCTTTCATCCAGGGACATAAGATTTTCTGTGTTCCCCTTCCAAGCTACACTTACTGTGATTTAGTTACTGGTTTTTTTTTCTTTTTTTTTTTTCTATAGTACAGGTATGTGGAGATTCAGCTTAATTAAGAGTAGTAGAACTGCTTAAGCTTTACTGGAATTTATGTGAATATTTTTGCTTGACAACTCCATGCAGAATTCCAGTGCTCTGTTCACTGTTTGGACGCTTGTAGAAAGGCAGATGGTGCAAGAAAGGGTAATTGTTTGGGACTGCTTTTGTTATTGTTTTGGACTTTGGATCCTTGGGTTGATGTGCATCTGTCCTATGCGCAGATAGTTGAACTACATTAACAAAGTTATATACTGGATGCAACTCCTGAAGGACATAATCACATCAGTGTTTAGTTATTACTAGGTAACTTGATTTTAACCCTTCCTCTTAACTAGAACATTATGAGAGTGTTAGAAGATCCAAATGATCTACGGCATGATATAGAAAGGAGAAGAAAAGAGAGGTTGAAGAATGAAGATGAGAGAGTGTTTCATGTAGACGGTGTAACTCCAAGGTAATTGGCAAATAAGAATCTTGTTGGCCCAAGCCTGTAGTTCTCTTATGTGTTCATTTTTTGACCCTTCCACAGTTGCATTTGTTGTGATTCTTTTCCATAGTTTGTCCTTGTATGTTTGACTTGGACTGAAATTCAACTGATGTACGTTGCAAACTACTCTGTAATGGAGTGTTACCTTGAAAGAGGTTAAGCTGCAGTGGGGAAAAAAAATTGAAAAGCAAGCTGAAACTGTAGCCCTGAATAGGAACAGAGGAAGCAATTAATTTAAAGATGCTTAACTATTTTTAAATTCCTTGATGTGCCATATAATAACATTCTCTTGGTATTTCGTACTTTCATAAAAGCATTTTAGGATGAATACATTGTTGTGTTGCCCTGGTTGTTTTGTAATGTCATGCGGAATATCAACAAAGAATTGGAATTTTTCTGATTCTTGGAGAATTTTATGAAGAAAAGCTAGATTTTCGGAATAGCTTTTTACTGCTATGAAGTTCTCCAACGGGTTTGTTAAAGGTGTTTGCCCCAGAGGTGTTTGCTAACCTCAGTCACCCTGTTCCACTTTTGATGTTGTGAGGTTGGCTGATTAGAGAGATGACTTATTTGTGTTAGAAGAGATGTTGATTAAAGAATTGCTAGAATGTAATGACCTGTATCTACACTATAGTCATGATTTGCAGATCACTCTTAATATGCTGTTGTTTGTTCACTTTTCATGCAGCCTGTAATGGCAAATAGTGGCAATGCACACATACTTGGGAAAACTGACTTGTGAAGCTGCAGAAGAAATATTTCTTGTATTTGAGATTCTTTGAACAAAAAAAGTAAAAGATACCAAGTGTGTGTGTGTGTGTGTGTGTAAATATTGGACAGTTGCATATAGCCTTTTATGTACCTGGGGCTATGTCTTTCAGCGTATGTTTGGCCTTATTATATGGGAAGGCTTTTTTGCTACTTCCACAGTTACTGTCTTGCTTACCTTTTGCATATGCTGCTCAGAGCGGGAGAGCTCCAGTTTCTCCAGTAAGTGTGGCTATCCCAGACTTTGGAGGGGTTACACTGTCAGAGTAATGTGGACGATGTAATGTGGGCTGAGGGCAGTAATGGTATGAACGATGGGTAGAATTTTCCTGAGATTGGGAGTTTTTCATAGTTCACATATGAGATACTGGCAGTGCCTATGAGCTAGTCCAGTGTGCCTCTATTTTTGCCCTAGTAATCTCTTTTGCAGCTATGAAAGCTGTTTCTGTATGTTTCATGAACTATGAATTTTGCCTTCTGGTGGTTACTTTTCATAGTACGTGTTTTATTCAGAGGTTTATGAACACAACTGTATTAGCAGTGGGCTCAGTAAAAAAAACCTAAGCAAGCAAAAGCCCAAAGTCCTGCTTGCGGAGGATGAAACTAGAGCATCTAGCGATTTATCTGACCTTCTGTCGGATTTGGGATTTCACGAAACGGAAAGTTCTGTGCAACTTTAAAAGAGAGTGCAGTGCAGAACAACTGCTGATCTGCAGAAAGCATTTCAGCCAGCGGAGGGCAGCAAGGACCAGCCAGGCAGGCCTGGGGAAACCTGCCGCGCATCACCGGCATTCCAGGGAGGCAGAGTATCTCTGTTCATTTGTCGTTGCATAAGAGAATGCAGCTTACTATATAATTCTGTGCAACTTGGGCTTGAGTTTAGTCGGAGGACTAGTTATTTGTCGAATGTCCTAGAAAAAAATCACTTAAAACCAGTCACTTTGCACTTGTAAGTGATACAGGTACTCAACTAAGGTTATTTAAAATACAGGGGTTTGATATGCTATGGCTTTAGATTTTAATTATTCTCTCTCTCTCTCTCTCACATGCACATCAGGAACCAGCAAAGCTGCAGTCTTTCAAAATTACAAAACTCTCAACTTGATGGCTTCCAAAAGCCTATGAGGTTCATTAAGCCACCCTTCCGGAAATTTATTGGGAAACCTCACCTGGTAAGCCTAAATGTAGAATTAGTAGCTTCTGCATTTGTTGTTCTTCCACTTGTAATTCATTTTTTGCTGCACTGTCTATGCTGATGTAAATTTAACAGTCTGTGATGTCTTGCCCTCTTAATTTTCAAGTGAGGCTTTATTATCTTTAGACTTGGCTCAAAGATAAACCTACTCATAATTTCACAGTTCTAGTGCAAGAGTACATCCTCAGGTATTTTTTTAAGCATAGATTAATACAAGTGAGCTAAAACCACTTTTATAACCAGATGCTTATACAACAAAAATAATTGTTTTGCTTTTGCATGCCTGTACTCCATAACAACTTTGCTACTGTTTTTTATAACCTCGCAGCAAGTTGGCCAGGGATTTGTTGTTTCAGAAAGCTAGTTTAGTCAGTATGTTGGGTGAAATCAAAACATTTTTTCAGCTAGTCCAGAAATAAGGTGGTCAACTTTAGATCTCTTATTGACTAGCAGGAACAGGACAAACTAAACTTTTGAACTATACTTTAGTTTCAAAATGACTTACTGAAATGAATTGCTTGAGGGGATTTATGAAATAAAAAGTCATATTGCTTGTAGCTTTGTAAAAGAAATTTGTACCTAATGCTGTATTTCTTTCACCTAATGATGTACTACCTACACTACAAAGTAGAATTGTTATTGAGCAGATAACCCGAGGTAATGTTGAAAGGTTTGAGAAAAAGAATACTCTCCTGCATTCTAATTGTGAGCAGTTGGAAGGGAAGGTCCAAATCTTGTGTAGGTGGCATTGTTACCAAAACAGTGTTTCTCCTCATAATGACGAAAGTTCTGGAAAGTTCTTATTTTAAAAACAAATAAAAATGAGGAACAAATCATGGAAATAATTAGAAATGTCTGAAATAATGTTCCTGAAGATGGAATGTTATACAGTGGAGTAGCTTATCTATGTTGATACTGCATTTTTCAAAGCTAGTTTGGGCACTTAGTCTTTCTCAGACTATCTTTCTGTGATGTGCTTTAATAGTGAAATGGGCAAGACAGTTATATTAGGTTCAGGAGGAGTAAATTTGTCTCTTTTGGAAAATTCCTTTTAAATAAATATAGTCTTATTTCCAAGTGCTTGTGCTTGTTTAACTTGGGGAACTGGTGAGACCAGAAAAGCTTCATTATTGTGTGCAGTATAACTGTGGCAATTTTTTTCTGGTGGGTGCAAAATAAGAAGGAGACTAACATAAATTGTTGTTCTTTATAGATTGTAATTAATACCCTATGGACAGGGTTCCAAAAGGCCATGAAATTGTTCTGAGGTCCGTCAAAAGTAGCTTTCATGTAGTCAGTTCTGACCATCACTGAAACATTGCTGCCTTGCAGATGTAACAGGGCGTCTTTCAGTGTAAAGCAGCACAAGTTTTTAACGGTAAAAAATATTACTTACTGAAGACTAAGATTGAAGTCCCCCACAACAAGTGGTAATTGCTCATTAAATAATTGTATTGGGTCTGGCTGAGAGGGAGTCAATTCTCCCCATAGCAGCCCTCACAGTGCTGTGCTCTGCATTGGTAGCTAGAAGGGTGTTGATAACGCAGCGGTGTTTTGGCCACTGCCCAGCAGTGCTCGCGCAGCATCAAGGCTGTCCCTCCAACATCCCCCGTCACCAGCAGGCTGGGGGTGGGCAAGATCTGGGGAGGGGACACAGCTGGGACAGCTGACCCACACTCACCGAAGGGATATTCCAGACCGTATGATGTCTGCTCAGCAATAAAAGCTAAGGCGGGGTGGGGGGGGCATTCATTATTACATTTGTCTTCTGAAGCAACCACTACACGTACTGAAGCCCTGCTTCCTGGGAAGTGGCTGGACATTGCCTGCTGATGGGAAGTAGAGAATAAGTCTTTTGTTTTCCTTTGCTTCCACTCACAGCCTTTGCTTTTGTTTTATTAAACTGCCTTTATCTTGACAGATGAGGCGTTTGGTTTTTGGGTTTTTTTTCCCATCTTATTTTCTCCCCCTGCATCCTGCTGAGGAGGGGAGCAAAAGAGCGGCTTGGTGGGCACCTGGTGTCCAGCCAAGGTCAACCCACCACAGTAATATAGTAATTGCAAATAAAAGGGGGGTTAGTTTGAAATAGAAACTGAGTTGTTAGATGTGCTGAAGGTTCAGGAAGATTGCATTTTCATATCTAATAGTGAACTGCAAACATGCACTGCAGTGAGGAGTAATTCATTCAGAACAACAGTAGCTGTGAAAGCATGGGTATTACAAATGCAGGGCATCCTAAAGAAGGAACGACTCTTCATGCAGTCAGCCATGCAGAAGCTGGTTTGCAGACAAGTGGGAAGATAAAATAGTTTAGTTTGCCATCCACATTTGTCAGTGAAAATAGAATTAATCAGTGCTCACCAACTGGCTTGGAGGGCTTACGGGCATTTTGCAAGTGTGTCTGCAATACATTAATTGGCAATTCTTAATTGCATCTCCTCTTCTGGTTTTGTGTTTCTGTTCTTGCCTTTTGATTCTTTTCTGCTCCCCTTGTCTGTCTTCCTGTTTATCTAGTATGTCTGATGGTCAATATGTAAAGTAATGCAGAAGGAGGATAACCTTTTCCTGGGCAGAGCAGATCACTAATACAGCTAACTCGTATCTGAGGCAGTACAAATAATTCAGCTGAATAAGCTAGCTCCAGTAGTGTGGCACTTCCCATGACATGTAGATGTGTTGTCTGAGAACGTATGGTGCTCAAAATGGCTTTCCTTGAAGGATTTCTTCAGGACTGGGTGCGATTGGAGAACTTATCCTGGTGGGCAATAGCTCAAGCTCAACCTCCATACGTGTAAGCTGCTAGCACTGCTTTAGCATTTGTTGTGGGAGTTAAGTGGAGTGGCATCCAAGCAGCCAACCGTAATTTCAGCCACATGTATTATTCTGTGTTGAGTAGGCTTTGTGTAATAAATTCAGAGCTGTGTGACTGTATCCACTACTACTTTGTTTGGAAATGTATTATTAGTAGAGTTGAAAGCAGCCTTAGAAAAACAAAAAGGAATGAAGGTGAAGGCTATTCCTTGCTGCCTTCTGCAAGAGGACAAATGTTTGGAATTTTCCATTCGGAAAGTTTTGTATCGGAACAGTGCAGTTCAGGTGCGAACAGTGCCAAGCACCTTGAAAAGTGTAAGGACTGTGGCTAAAAGGCAGTATTTGGAGAACAATGCATTGGATTTAAGAAGTGACTTGATGGGTCACCAGAACATTGATGCTGGGTCGACCACACCTTTTTAAATAGGAAGCATCCTAAAATGAAGGATATATTACTGGGGCCCAGCGATACATGGAAAAACTGAGGAAGAGTTTGAAACATAAGCAAGAGCTAAGAATAGTTGTTGAATAAGAAAGTAAATTTTGTGGTTTTGCTCGGTTCTACAGATACTTGGGTAGATAGTGGCTCAGCTGGCTCCACAGTCCAAGCAGAGGTCTCTAGTTCTTGTGGGAAGCTGTTTTACAGCTTTTTATATTGGCAAAATTGTGAAGGTGTGGGAAAACACCTGAAAAGGTATTTAACAGGCATCTCTTACCACTTTTACATGTGGAACTCTCCTTGACAATTTTAAAAGCAAACCCTGGGAAATCCAAAACAAAAACTCTAACCTTCAGCACTCCTCTCAGGTTTGTTTGCTCTTGTTTACAGGTAAATATTGAGAGGAAAGTACATCAGAGAGCCGGGTTTCAAATGACAAGCATAACAGTGCCAACACTCAGAAAATATGGCAAAAATAATTTTAAAAGGAGTATTTGACAAGAAAACCACTGCAGCATCTTAAATTATAACACAGGATTTAAAAAAAATATAATTTATTGGATAAATGTTTGCACATTTTTGTCTTTGTAAAACTTCATTGTGGTTTTTATTACTGCTGTGCTTATCAGCATTGGTAAAAGACGGATGCTTGAAAACTGGAAGCCTGAGCAGTAGAGCATATCTGATGCAAGGATGTTGCCTATTGTGAATACAGATAATGTATTGGTCATATTAAAATGCCCTTACAGTAAACTATCAAAAAGTGATACTAACACCACTTTTGCTCTCTTATTAAATGGATGATAATAGTCATTTGGGTTAAAATTAAACATGGAAATGGTATTGACTTGGTTGGCTTACTTTTGATATCCCATGATTAATCAATATGAACTTTTCAGTGCAAGGTATGAGTATCTTTTACAGCAGGCCAGTGAAGGGCAGTTATTTCTTGTGTTAATATTCAGTAATTGGGGGTTGAGCTTAAACTTGAGAACTTGGCCTTGAAGGTGCCAATGTCTATCTAGCCTTGATTGTAAGAAACATCCATCTGGTACTCTACTGACAAAAAGAGGATGGCTAAAGAGTAGAAGATCAGAACAAGTGTCTCTTTGTACTTCCCTTTCTCACCGCCCCCCCCCATTTAAAATCTCTGGTTTAGGAAATTCCTGAAGAGTAGATTGCTGTCTCTTTGCATCAAGTAGTTCTAATGTTTTTGTTTCCATGAATGTACTTGAATTTGAGGGAGGTGGGGATGGGGAGGAGTGTATCCACAGTTAGTTAAGACAAGCTTTGTTTTAATTCCCAGAGGTTTATTTTTAACTATAACAGGAAATTTTCTTGAATGTTTTTTTTTTCTTCTTGCTGAATTCTCAGCTTTAAGGAGGAGTATACTTCAACAGGGAGCTTCCTGATTTAATTGTGTTGTGTGGAGAAAGTTAATTTGATTTCATGGAGTACCTCTGTATTCTTAGAATAAGATGGGAGCTGGGAAGTTCCTGACATGCTTTTTCCTCTGTCCATACTTTTTTCCTGGGAAAGCCATTTTGACTACTTTGATCTCGTTTCATAAAGTCTTTCTTCCTCTCTTTTTGTTCTCTGTTGAATTGCCTCTTGTCAAGGCATTTTAAGATGCTAAATAGTTGACTTGTAGGCAATAATGTATTCTCAAAAAAACCCCCAAAAGCTAGCTTAAATCCCAGTTAAAAGTGAACTTGGATTCTAATGCTGTTCTGTTGCATTTATAGCCCCCCCAATTAGTAACAGTGTTGGAAAGCATACGCTAAAGTGTTTCTGCCACTGGAAAGGCTTGGTACTTTGTTAGAGAACAGAAATTCTGTAAACAGCAAAGCATGCATTTGCATTTATTATTAGATGTTAGTATATATGAGATGTTTCATGACAGTTCTTTTCTTAGGCTCTTTTTAAAATGTATTTGAAGCTGTTAAAATTTTCTTTGGAAAAAACAGAGTTCAACAGCATTGGAACACTTTTGTGATTCAAGAATGGACCATAAAGAAATTTAATTTGATTGCTAAGAGTTCGTTAGCAAGTCCATTCTGTATGCATTAGATGACTTTAATGTAGTATATGCCAGTATGTAATGCTTCTGTAAATATTTATAATCATATGCAATAATGGAAGGGAATGATATTTTAGCTGTGTGCATCCTTGAGAGGGAGCTGTCATGGGGAAAACTGGAAAAGGGCCAAAATACACAGGTAGGACCCTGGCTGGAGGAGTGCTCTATTTTAGGCAACCATGGCTGTGTGACTGCAGCTGTTCGGGTGCTGACACGCAACAATTTCAATACCACTTGTCTGTGCAACTTGCTTCTGAAATCATGTGTGTTTCTGTGGCAGGCAAGTAATCTTCAAAATGCTCTGCTGTAATACGGAGTTAAAAGTAGAATCTTCTGAAGACCAATGTAATGTGCTACACGTTCGTTGTCTGGTTGCTGCGGTGGTGTGTATAGTAACAGTGCATGAGTCTGCTCTAAAATATGCTAATTTATGATGACCATATGCTAACCAGGGACATCCGGAGTACTAATCTTGTTGCCCTTATTCCTAACTCGAGGGATGACTGCTGTAGCAGCCTGTCTGCTACATTTCCTGCATTCAGATTGAAGCATCTGTTCTGGGGGCAGGGGTAGAGCACCTTAATTGGCTTGTTACCTCCTTGGATCTCTCCAAGAGGATGATGTTCCAGTAGGATGGTCTGTATCACCTTTGGCTTCTGCGGGCTCTGCCATCCTTCAGCCAGCCTGGACTCGGGCCCTATGCTCCTGTTACTCTGGTTCCTTCAAATAGTGTTGTGGTGTCAAACGCTACAAGATTGAAAGAGTTGCAGTATTTGTTAGTATAACCTGGAAACTTTGTATGTTTTCTTGAATAATTTAGTAACATTAAGCTAATAACTCTGTTTTCCGACTAGAATTCTTACTATTCTTCAAAACCAAGTGATACTTACCCTCACAGACGCATTAGAGGACACCTTGAAAATGCAGGACCCATCAGAAGACACTTTAAGGTACAGATCAGCTTTTATCAGATGTATGTTACATAAAATGGTGATTCGATCCCGTTGAGTTCGGTAGCAGGACACACAGTTTTGAAGGTATTAAATGCCGTGAAAAATAGTGTCGTCATAGCCTAATTGTTTCCATTGAAATAATGGGAGGCTCAGCTTTTAGTAGGTAAGAGGGCTAGCAGTGGGTTGTCCAGTGTTGTGTCTGTGCAGTTGAAATAAATAAGTTAACTGCAAAGTTGAGAATGAGAATTGAAGAAACTAGACAATGAGTAGACAGCTCATCTATCCAAAAAACAAGCTGGTCAGCTTTCTTTCCTTCACCTGATCCATGTGGAAGGCTGAACTATTTTCCAAGACTGGGAGACATGAATTGTATCACTTTCAAAATTATATTACTGTTATTTTATTAGCCCTTTTGTATAGGGATTTCTGGGGAAGTAATCTCTTGTGTATACCCTGCATACTGCTATCTGTGCATTTAAAAAAACCCCAAAATTTAAAACTGTGAAGCTTTTTCTCAGGCCCTCAAGATGGTAAAGGGGCAGGCAACTGTGCTTCTTCTGGGGTAGTGCAGTGGCTTTCTAACGCCTTTTGATTGTAAAATGTATTGTGGGTTCAGCAGAAGAACGTGCTGACAGTGGCATGTTATGCATGGATCCAGTTAGAGCTCTTTATATCAGAAAAGTAGTAATCAAGCCTAGAACAACTTACTGTCATTTTCTACCTTAAAATTACCCCTACTTATTTAACAGGTGTGTTCTCAAGAGTAAAATAACACACAGAATAGGTAGTCGTCTTTCCTGTTTTGTAGATAGTGAAACCGAAGTAAAGTTTTGATGGCTAAGTTAAGTAGCTGGCATTTTGGATAGAATTTTGAAAGGGGGGGGGGCAGTGTAGGTGTGGGGATTTTTGTTTGCTGGTTGTTTTTTGTTTTATTTTCTCCCCCCTCAGATTAAACATAAGAGATCTGTTGGATCAAAAGGCTTTCAGACTCTCCCATTTAGGTGTGCTTTGCCAGTCAATCTTAGTCACTTAGCTAAGCTAACACTAGCAAAAAATGCTAACTTTAATCTGCTGGAAAAAAAAAAAGTCATTTTCCAAGCTGAAGTTAACAAGTTTAAAGTGTCAGCCTGGTATAACTATTGTAATGTGTAAGGACATCATAGCCCTTAATCGGTGTCCCCTCTGTATTGTCAGCCTATAGGGGCTGGAGGGATCTTCAGCACTGACTGCCATATCATTGAGGCAGCATTGGTAGTTGATGTAATGTAAAGAAAATGGAAGGCTGCCTTCAGTTACATCAGCCTGCAGTTCTGCTGGACATTATGCAGGCATGAAAGTGCCCCTTTAAGTTGTCATTGCACGTATATATGAATATTGCCTGAATATTGCTGTATCCAATGATCTGTCCCATGGTGCTTTAATATTTGTAGGCAAAACAGCATATGCGCTCATATTGCAGTTTGCATATATGTATAGCACATTTATCATTGCCATGGAAACAGCAGTGCTGATTTGACTTAATTTCATCAACCTTTTTTTTTCTTTAATTTCCTCCTGTGTAACATAGAGGGTTTTTCCTTCCCATGCTGTTGCTGAAACCTACTTAGGAAGGTGATTTGACTATCTTCTACACTCAGGAGACTTCCTTGGCTGATTATTTAAAAAACCAAACATACAGACAAACAAACCAACCCACCAAAAAAACAGACACACACAATCCCATTCCCC